TTAGTGGGACATTAGCCTTTCATGCCTCAAAGTGAACTTGAAATTCCTCAAAATAATACCTCTCTAAAGGAACAAATTTGGCTCACTCTCTTACATTTAACAATAGCTCTAAATAAAAAAAAAAGTCTAATATTGTCTAAATGTCATTTTGTTCCTATGAGATATGTCTGTACAGAATTTCCAAGGGTCTGACAAAGCAATAATGTAATTGATATGTGTTGGATTTAACAATATGAAACAACTTTAATAAGAAAAACAAAATGCAATAGACATCTACTTTTATCTAAAAGAAGCAGATATTTTTCTCTCATATCTTACATGTGGGTGCATAACACAGATACATGACTTGGGATTATGTAGGTATTTTTAATTGATAAACATTATAATGAATCACCCTTACATGATCAGATTATAAGAAGAGATTGAGTACCCCCTCCTTCTACTTTCATTTGTAGTACTTTATAAGGAAAGAATAAGTTACAGGCCCATGGCATTTCCAAGCAATTTGTAACTCTGCAAAGACTGCTGTCAGCTGGGATCTCAGAAAATAAGCAATATAGTGACTTATTTCAGATGTTACTCTTGAGTAATGCCAAATTCTTTACTGACACTAATAATGAAAATCCTCATGAAAAACTAAGTGTTGGACTGATTAGGGTCAATGGAAAGCTGCCATTGATACAATCATTTTTATATAAAGTTAAATCCTCCCTACATATAAGATGATGTGTAAGAATAGACCGTCAATTTTCCTCCACATTCCAATTATAAGACAAATATTTTTATTTTGTTTTGTTTTTAATATATTTTATTGATATTTTACAGAGAGGGAGAGAGAGAGAGATAGTTAGAAACATCAATGAGAGAGAATCATCGATCAGTTGCCTCTTGCACACCCCCTACTGGGGACATGCCTGCAACCAAGGTACATGCCATTGCCTGGAATCGAACCAGGGTCCTTTCAGTCTCTAGTCCTACGCTCTATCCACTAAGCCAAACCGGTTTTGGCAAGACAAATATTGTTTTAAGTGACTTCCCATTAAAAGAGCAAAGCTATCAGTTTTTCATGACATTTATGAATTTCTTATAGTTTACCTCAGGTGCATATTTATTGCATATTCATTGATATCAAATATGTCAGTAATCATGTAGCGACTACGGAGTCAAGCACTGTGCTAACCATAAGGGTTCAATGGTTGGCTTATAAACTAACACAAACCCTATCTTATAATAAAGGGAAGTTCAAATTAAAGAATGAACAAGTACTTTAGTAAAATTAAAAATGGTAACCTGGGGAAAAGAAAAAAAAAAGGATGCTGACATAGAAAATGCTAAGGGAGTTTCTGAGGGAAGGGGCCACTCTAGAAAGATTGGTAAGGAAGACACCTACAGAGATATATTGTAAACAGAGCTGTTCATCTACCAATAAGGCAGCCACAGAAAAAGGAGAACACAATGCCTTCTCTGGTGTGATGTTTTAACTCAAACAATGGGCAATCCCAATTGCAGGTGATATAGTTCTACCTAGAAATTACTTCAAGTGCAAGTTTCTATACTCTGAGGTTTATGCTATATTATATGCTTCCTGCTTAATTAATACTTAACCTCATTTTTTCAACAGATTTGTTTTAGATATTAAAAATTACAAAATGCCTGGAAGTAATATTACTCAAGACTAAAGGAAATACATCCTATATAATAAAGAGCTAATATGCTAATTAGACTGGATGGGGGAATGATCTTCCAGAATGACTCTCCAGAATGAGGGCTAGGCAGAGTGGGCCACAAAGTAGCCAGGGCTGTGTGGTCCTACTCTTGCATGAATTTCATGCATCAGGCCTCTAGTCTGATAACGTTTTCCTTAATTTAGGTAACTGTCAACATTAACTTTATTCAGAATGAAACAAACTTGTTCAAAAGGAGGACACAATAACACACACAAGCATAAAACCTGCAGTTGATAATCTCTCTACTGGCACGGCCGTTCTTACATTGCAATTATTGCTCTCAGCTATCCAGTAACTCTGGCATAAAATAATATATTTGATTTTATTAATAAGGTATAGTTTCTGTTCTAACATTAAAAATCATTTGGAAACTGTTGAAAGTGTCAAAATATCTGTAATAAAACTTTTTAGAAAAGTTTTATTATAGATATGTTAGAAGCAGTGCATTTGTTAAATAGTATCAAGTAAATTTTACATATCTGGCCCAGCCACTATGGCTTAGTGATTGAGCATCGACCTATGCACCAGGAGGTCATGTTTGATACCCAGTCAGGGGACATGCCAGGGTTGCAAGTTCAACCCCCTAGTCAGAGCATGCAGGAGGCAGCTAATCAGTGATTCTCTCTCATCACTAATGTTTACCTCTTTCTCTCTCCCTTCCTTCCTGAAATAAAAACACATTAAAAAATTTACACATCTTAATGCTCTTATTATCATATGTTTGAAGATTCATTCTAAAGGCTTTATTCTTGCCTTTTAAAGAAGCCACAGAGAGATAAGAGAGAAGGCAATGAATTATTTTCAGTGAATAATTTTCCCTACCATCTGTTGAAATATTGAAAATTTTCACTATTATCATATAAAACACATACACAGAGTCAGCCACTTGTGATTTGCTTTAAAATCGTATAGGTATAGAGTATATCTCACTACTTTGGATGTGATAGAACATTAGGACAGACTTTGCCAATCTTTTTATTTAATTTTAAAAAATAATGTATCTATTGTCAGATGATTATAATTTTATGGCTAATCACTCTTAATTTTGAAAATTATTCCCCTTCTATCATATGCTTTTTCCCACTTGTTCTCATCCATTTACTAGTTGTTTTGAAATGCCCATTTTATTAATTTTGACTGTCTTTCATTTTTTAATTCTGAGAATTAAGCTAAGAATCAGAGAACAATTTTTTAACTGGCAAGACAAGCTTAAATGTGTGATGCTAACCAACCCCTTTGCCAGTCTACAGAAGAGCCACTATCTTAATTTTGCTGGGCCTGGAGATTATCTTTCAGCTCTGCGTCTGGTTTTACTTTTCTTTCTTCATTTGTTTGGACTCTGAGAGAGTTCATTTTCCTTTTGGCACAATTTTAAGGATGTCTCCTACACATGGGTGAACCCTAAGGAATGGCATTGCTGCAGGTAAAGATTAGGAAGCGAATTGACTTTAATTTGAAACAGCTGTGCGAGGAGATGAACATGGATTCGGTTTTAAAGCTGCACCTATCTGTAATCCCCAAGAGTAATACAGAAAGAACCCAAACATTCTGTTCTAACGCTCAAACTTTTGGCCTCATTAAATTGTGTTATGTATCTGTAGCTTCATTCATCAGTTCCCCGGATGCACCTCATCACACCTACCTGGCTGCTCTGAGTGATTTCTGATGTCAACTGGATGAAAAATGATTGTAAATGAAGCATTTAGCAGCCATATTAATGCCAAGCAAGAGGCTTAGGAGAAAAGTAGCATTCAAAGAGTGGTTTTCAGATTTTTTCTAAAGCTAATAACACTTTCTTCATGACTATAATTTTGGTATTTTTAAGCTACAAAAGATTTTTTTAAAGAGCATACTTTAAACAAAGTTATAATCAAATATAGACTTTTAAGAGTATTGAAAATGTATATCTATCTAAATCGATCAAATTTCATTTGTACACATTGGGCATTTGAAAGATCATATGGCTAGTGAAATTCTGAGTTGATAAATGTACTATGTAACAAATATTAATTGAGCAGGTATGGAATTGGTCTATCATACATATTCTTAAATGACAAAGAGAGCCAAAACCGGTTTGGCTCAGTGGATAGAGCGTCGGCCTGTGGACTGAATGCTCCCAGGTTCAATTCCGGTCAAGGGCATGTACATTTGCTGTGAGTACATCCCCTTTTGAGGGGTGTGCAGGAGGCAGCTGGTTGATGTCTCTCTCTCATCAATGTTTCTAACTCTCTATCCCTCTCCTTCCTCTCTGTAAAAAAATCGATAAAATATATTTTATAAAAAAAAATGACAAAGAGACAAAACTATCTTCCACATCAGGGTCTGTGGGCTGCAAATGCCTCAGACAGGGTTGGTAGGTGCATGGAAGATTGGGAAGTTCGAATGAGGGAGGAAGTCAGAAAAGATTATTCAATTCATCTACAACCATCTGAAGCTACATGTGAAGATGGTTAAAAAAAAATCTTCCTTATACACCTTATACAGATACATTCTATTTTTAACATATACATCTATGTGCTATATGCACACATATGTCCTTGACATAAACAATTGAATATGTAAATGCTATCTGAACAAAATGCAAAAACGTTCAAAAGTAGAACTGAATTAAGAGTGTTTGTTGGTCACCATCTATTTTCACTTAGAAGTTAAAGAACATGGTAATACCAGGAGAGTAATAAGTGTTTAACAAAGTTTTCTCATGTTAGGGGGAAAAAATGAACTTCAAGAACATCTTAATTTTTAGGTTAAATGAAAATAAAATTTATTTAAAAATCATATAAACTAAGGGCTAACTACTGAATTTTCAAAGTTGCTTTGGTATTGACAAAAGATGTGTGTTTTAAGAGAAGGAAATGTCCTTAAAGCACAATAGACAATATATTAACAAAAATTCAGCAGTATTGCATATGAGTTTCATTAGTTTTACAAAAGTAAATGTGATGTGAATCATTTAATATGAGGTGTAGCATGTCACAAAATGCCTTTGTTTAAAAAACTGAGCTTGGCCAAAAACAGGCATGGCTCAGAAGTTGAGCACCGACCTATGAACCAGGAGGTCATGGTTTGATTCCTGGTCAGGACACATACCTAAATTGAGGGTTCAATCCCTGGTCCCGGTGCCTATGGGAGGAAACTGATTAATGTTTCTCTCTCAATTGATGTTTCTCTCTCTCTCCTTTTCTCCCTCACCTCCACTCTCTCTAAAAACCAATAAAAAAACATATCCTCAGGTGAAAATTAAAAAAAAAAAGGTTATAAAATTGCACTCACTTTTCTGTCTTTGTTGTATTTGGCAAATATCTCCTGGGCTCTCTCCTCTCCTCCATCCGTGAACAGCATGATGATCTTATTGCAGTTAGCTCTGGAAACGTTGTACTGTAAAAAATACATGTATGTCATTCATAATCAAAGGCAGAAATATAAAGCACAGGAAAGAGCATGAAGAGGATGCAAGTAATGAGGACAATGTATGCCCAGTATGTTTATTCTAAGATCTGGTTCCTGGATCAGCCCAGGCCCATCCCCTACAGAGCCTTCCCTTCAGTCCCCACGCCTGTCCCAGACCTCCGAGACCCCAACTTCCTTCAGGTCTCTGATTAAATGTCACCTTATCAATGAGACCTTTCGCCAAAGCTACCCGAGGCTGTATCTTCTTCACAGCATTCTATACTAATATTTATAGCAGATACTTTATTTGCTTGCCCATTGTTGGCTTTGTATAATGTAAGGACCATGAGGGCAGAAAGTCCTGTCTGTTTTTGTTCAGTGTCTTTTTTTTTTGCTTAGATAAATGCCTAGAACACAATAATTTTCCAGTGATTAATTCATAGATTTTAAATTAATTGTTATGTTGTCATTTCTCCCCCCCTATAATTTAAACCAGAAACAAACAATATTAATACAAATTGTTCATACCTATTCACATATACTTTTAAACTATTTACAAATATTTTCCCTCCCTTTCCTCCTTTATCCTACTTTATTTTATTAACTTTACATTTCTGAAATTATAAACTCCCAGTTAATCCCTAACACCAATGCTCTTTCATATCTTTGTAAATGTTCATACCTATTCTCAGAATAGCCTCTGCTATTTTCTCTCAACCTGCCACACGTATTCTAATCCTGAAAGACTAAATTCCTAGTGTAAATCACTTGAACTTTAACGTCCCAAAAGAGACAAACTTAGGAGAATGGATTAGCACCAAAAGACCCCTCTGATGAATTTAATTTAGAAATATGGGCTTCTTTGAAGTCTGCAAAGATAATGGCAGCCTTTTTACTGTTGCAAAGTGTGTTTCTGTGTTAAGTGTTTAATTTAAAATTAATTTATGAATGCTCAGCTTCTTTCAAAATGCCAACGCCCTAGTCAGCCTAGTGCTATCAATGGAGATACACCTTATTTATAATTTTAACTTTCTGATAGCCATGTTAAAGAAAGTAAGAATATCTGAAATTAATTCTAACAATATATTTTATTTAACTTGGTCATCCAAAATATTATCAATTAAGTATGAGATCAATATAAAAATTCTTCAGGTAACATATACTTTTTCTTTCATAATAGGTCTTCAAATCTCAGTTCAGACCAGGCATATCCCAAATGTTCAACAGCATATATGATTGTGGTCACCATACTGGACAGCACATTAACCTGGCCCTTAAATTACACACACACACACACACACACACACACACACACACACACACACACATATCCTGAAGTTATCCAGGAGATAAGTAAGCTATTGGAGGACCATGCTCTATCTTATTTTAAAAAAAGATATACCCCATTTCCTGTTGGACCAGCTAAGAAAAACAACATTTTGCCTTATTGATGAAAAAATCCTGTTTCATATAATCTCACCTCATTGAATAGGCATTAGAAGATTGTCAATTAAAGCTTTCATCCAAGCATTGTGAAAACACAGGAATTGACTAATACAATTTGGCCCATTCAAACGTGATTCTTTTCTTTGAGTATAACTGTTTAAAAATTTCACTATACAAAAAATTACATCTTTTATTATCAAAATACTCTGTGAAAGGTGTCAAAACCCCTTAACTAAAATTATTTTCCCTAATGATTTGTCTTTTTGATCTGTATATTTAAAATGGGCAAAATAAATATATATTTAAAAAATTGTCTCATAAAAGGGATAAGTAAAATTTTACCACAGGACTTATGTTTCCTTAAAGTTGTAGAGGTATTTTATCACTAAATGCAAACATCACACTGGGTCATGCTGATCATTTGTATATTGGTACAAATAAATAATAACCTTTCCCAAGAGAGAGAAATTAGGACACATGAAAAATGGAAATAAAATGTTTTGTTTTTGACATGATTTTTCCTAGAAGCAGGCTTCTCAGGACTTTTGATAAAGCAAAGTACATCATAGGAACTTTTCAGTGGATTTGCAATTACCTAAAGAATCACACAGTCATACAGTCACACAGCTATTCCTGACTGACTTGTAATGAATTAAATAAAATAAAGAACATGACTATTTCAATAAGTTGATTTGCTTTAATATATTATTTCATAACCTTCTTTGCTATATCCCTGCATGGCCAGGATCCAGAGCAGCATCTATTACATATGCACTCAATAAAAATGTTTTGAAAATTACATCTCAATGTATTTGGTGACATCTTATAAAACGCTACCTGAAGAATAATTCAAATCTTAATTTAAGGCTTTCCATGAGGAAAATGATATGTCTAATTCTATTTGACGCCTGCTTCAGTGATCTCAAAGGTAAACCTTGCAAGGAAAAACAGAGAGTGGCATTGCATGATAATAAGAGGACTAGGAGGGTTTGAAATAACAAAATGTGCTTCAACTGTGAATAAGGCACGCTGTGACATTTAGGGAAATTACTTTGAAATGAAGAAGTGCAATACCTAAGGGACACGTGGAAAGCAGAACATTTGAGATTTATTCCAGGAATAACTGAGACATATTAAAACTCCTTTACAATGGTGGTGCAGGCAGCACCAGAGGCCAAGAGAAGTAAAGTTATATTTTATCAGCAACTAGCAATGAATCTGGGAATTAATGTGGCGCCTCTAATGAGACTGCCTCTGAAATTGTCCATTAGGCTGGAGACATCTTAGCATTTCGCAAGTGAAACCTGAATAAGAGGGAAGGAAGCCAGCTTAATGAACAACGCTGAGAAGAATAATGAACCTGCCAATTCCAAAAACCTGATTACTGACTCAAGAGATAAATAATGATTAGTTTTAAAAGTTATATTCCTTTTCTACAGAAAGGATATATCTGCATCTAATGGCCAATTACATTGGAATTTCAAAGTTTTAAGTTTTCATATTTTTGATAGTGACACATCATTTAAACAAGCATGCGTTTTTTACCAAATAGAACTTCCCTTCGAACTGCAGGGCTGATCTGCTTTGCCTTTCCATCTCCTCCCTTGCTTATCCAACAGTCAACATAACAAACTGAGCTCCTTCTACCCTCATCGTCCCTCTATCTAGATTCCTGTGCCACTATCTACTTAGTAATCTCCTTAAAAGAACTTAAGAGTCACCCAAATCCCTCCTGCCACTCACCAACCTTTTTCCCCTAGTCCAGTTACCCTGTCACTCCTATTGCAACACCAGGATTTCTACCATAGCTTAACCCAAAACACTCATTAGAGCATGTCATTTCCATAGCATTGCCATTTTGTTGGCTCCTAAACACGCCATTAACTGACAATTCATGGTCTTTTCATTTCCATCCTGCTCCTATATTGCTATGCCCCAGCCATGGCCAAACAGCCTGCAATCCCTGCAAGGTTCCATGTAAATCTGGCAATTGTCCATGCAGTTCTTTTTATCTTAAATGATTTCCCTTCTATTGGCTACCTACCCAGATTCTACTCACTGCTCAAAAATCCCGTTTTCAAGGGAAGGCCACACTTTCCCGATGCCCTTTGGGTAAATTGAATTCCTCCTCCATGCTGCTCCAGAAGCACACTCGGAATGCCCCATGATGGCCCTAACTCGTTGAACTGGGATAATGGTTTAGTGTATGCTGGAGCTTCTCAAGAGTAGATGGTCTGGGTTATTTCTGTAATTCCAGCTCTGGTGCTGTGACAGGAAATTGTGCGACACTCACAAATATTGGCTGAAGGAACCAAATGGATGGACCAACTGATCAGACATCTCAAAAACTGTTTAGAAGATTCGCTTAGGGAACAACGAAGTCAAATTTGAAGAAAAGACCACCTGTAAGGGCTTTTCTGATTCGGAAAATAACATTAGGAATTACGTGCTGATTCTGTACCAGCCATGTACTAGTCATTATTATAGTAATCATGATCTTAACTCCAACACTAGCCCAACAGCTTACAGTACACGAGGATTACTGTGCGTCGGGTACTGTAAACAACCCTGTCCACAACCATCTGATGTACTTGTGATGGTGACCTCCACTGTATAAGTGGAAAAAACCAAGGTACAGAAGAACGGTTAGGTCCTCACACTCAAACAGGGTGAAAACACTATCACTTGAGAGAGACAGAACTGCATGTGAAAAATACAACTCCTGCTCTCAACTGGTTCAGAATGAAAAGGATGGCACGGCCATTTGAAAATACAGTCCATGATGTCAGGGAGTAGGCAGCCAGTGTCCAATAGTCTCACTGCAGACATGGATGGGTAGGGATTAGTTCAGGGGAATCTTCCCCGAGGAATTCCTGCTTGGGACTTATTTTCCCTCTCAACGTACTGTCTACCATTTTGACCTTTCTGTACACTTAGGAACATTTCAAATACCCAAAGTAGATATTTAAAACTAAAATCTTTCCACTAACTATTGGATGATTAAAAGAACAAATTTCCAAAAAATGTAGCAATTGATAGAAGAAAAAATAAATGATATTCTAATTATGCCAATTAAGTTTTAAGTGCTTATGCAAAATTAAATGACCTTATTAATATGTTTTTAAACCTATTCTGAAAATATGATAGAAGATATAAAAGGACAAGAAAACATTCATTTTGTATACCTTAGAATTTGAAATTTGAAAAAATAAAAGTAGTTCAAAGATTTCTACTGCCTGGGTACATCCGCTTTCTAAACAAATGAAAAAGAGCACTGTTATCTAAGCCTAGGTAGCTTTAACTCTCAGGATATTGACATTCAGCGACTGCAGTTCAATAATGAAAGAGAAAAGGGGTTGGTGTTGCTACTTACATTAAGCAGCTGTTCAAAAGCAAAGCTAAAGCCCTTCTTATAATCTGTGATCCCTTTCGCTGTGATGTTATTCACAGCGTCTTTCAGGACTTTCTTGTTTCTCACATTTGCTTGTACAAGGTGCTGAAAACAGCTCACATCCTGGGCGTTGCTGTTAAACTGAAAAAGATAAAATAGTGAACATATAAATGAACTTTAAATCAACCATGTAATTTTCTTTGAATTTGTTGTTTGTACTTCTCAATCCCAGTGGATTACTTTCTCTTAAAAAAAAAAAAAAAGGTAGAATATAATAGATTGGTAACAAAGGTATACCAAGGATCAAGTAGTAATTTTTCACCTAAGCTATGAAGTTATATTGGAACTCTGAGCCTGTCACTTACCTCCAGAAGCCTGGTTTCCCTGATTATAAATTTGGGATTTTATTTATATACAATCCTTTCCAGCTCTCAAATTTTATGAGCATTCTGACAAAAAAGAAAAGAAAAGAAAGGAAGGAAGGAAGGAAGGAAGGAAGGAAGGAAGGAAGGAAGGAAGGAAGGAAGGAAGGAAGGAAGGAAGGACCCCAATATATAACAGAATCCAGAAATGAAATGATAATGCCTATGCAGGATAAGGGAGAAACTGAGTATTTTACTTGTGCTCTTAAGGAAAAGCTAGAGGGAAAAATAGTACACTGAGTTACAGGAAGAGAAGTTTAATCACTTTGAAATTTGAGTGTCGAGTCTTCCTATGGGGATTAAAACAGGAAATCTGAAAGTGACAAGAACACCTGGTAGGTTTTTAGAACTATCACTATTAGGTTCTCTGCAGAATTCAGTGAAATCTGGAGGCAAGCAAAAGGCAAGAGAACACTGCTGAGAATTACTGCTGGAAGGGATGTGTCCCTAGTCAACAAAGAGGCAGTAAGAGTAGAGGATAAGCACCAACCATACGGGCCCCAAATTGAAAAGGTAAGAATGATCACCAATTTCACCAACCACTATGAAAGGTATTCACGTAATTCATTGGATATTTCCCAAAAAGAACATTAGGAGTAACTGCAGTAAGATCCAGAATACTGAGAGGAGTAGAATCGTCCTGTCGTTTATTAACTCTGCTATTTGAGAAAGTCCTTCATACTCATCTCAGTATTCTGGATCTACTGCAGTTACTCTTATTGTTCTTTTCTTTTTGGAAAATATCCAATAATGTGAATACCTTTCATAGTGCTTGGTGAAATTGGTGATCATTATTACCTTTTCCATTTGGGGCACGTATGGTTGGTGCTTATCCTCTACTCTTACTGCCTCTTTTTTTGTGGTATGCTGAATGCTTGTCAGATTCTGACATGGGCATCTGGGTGGCTGGAGAGCTGGAGGAGTAGCTAGAGGACTTACAGGGAAAGGAAGCTCAGAGTGAGTTTTCAATACAAGGGAGATATGCAAATGGAGATGTCAATAAATCAAAACATTTAAAAGAAGTTTTGGTTAAAGCTAAAAAACAAACAACACCTTCAGCATAGAAATTGGGTTTAAAACCATACAAATTAAAAGTAGGGGAAGAGCCCTTGAGAAAACTGAGTAAGAGTTATGTTCCCATGGAGACAAGAAAGAAATGAGAGGATGGGACTGTCTTAGATGATGAGAGAGAGAAAGAGTCAAGAAGATGACATTGCAGCTCCAGACAGAGAGGATGAGGCGGAACAGGCTGTACAGGCTGAGCTCAGTGGAGTGCGCTGCAGAACAACAGGAAGTGAAGCATGTACAGAGGATCACCTTCAAAGAGCCCTGGGTGGGAAGCAGAGAAGCAAGAGAGGGAAGTGCCTGTAAGCATAACTCTGGGGTCAAGGAAGGACTTCTTTAAAATGAAGGTTCAATAGAGCAAGAAAGGAATGATACTACAGAGAAAAGGGAGAAAAAGATGTAGAAAATTAGGGTGTCCCAAAAAATGTATACACATTTTGAATAATTATAAAGGCAGTGCTTATTAAACTATATTTCATTTTCAAAATGTAATAGAATCAGCTGTTAAAATGTGTATACATTTCTTTGGAACATGCTGTAAAAAAGGTAAAAAAAATTAAAAGTTCTTGTGAAGGTGGGGAAAGAGGGAATACAGCTGGCAGCTATAGCAATGATCCTTCAGGAAAACGTGTGTTGACTACCTGATCTAGGAAAGAAGAGTGGGGACCGAGCACAGATACTGGGGGTGTGTAGATTGGGTGTTAAACAGATGACAGTTTTTGTCCCCAGTGAACAATGAGGCAAGGTCATCAGGGTGAAGTAAGAGGAGAGATGGTTTGGAGGAAGTAGATATTAAATAACAAGTAAAATGTCCTGCACAGGTACTTTGAGTTCTTACCAACAGTGAACACTACTTTCAGGTTCACCATATATATGAGAATAAACTTCCAGTATATTTTACTGTTGTCTATAAATTTGAATGTTTTAACTCCCACTGCCTAGTTCATTACTTTCCAAGCTTTGATAATATGACACAATTTTAATCTACATGTTTCATTTTGACAATAAAAGGATGGGAGGCTGTGGCTGGTGTGGTTCAGTTGGTTGAAGCGCCATCCCTTGTACTAAAGGTGGCAGCTCCATTCCCAGTCAGGGCACATACTTAGGTTTTAGGTTTGAACCCCAATCAGGGGTTGACCGATCAATTTTCTCTCTCACATCCATGTTTCTCTGAGTGTTTGTGTATGTGTGTGTGTGTCCATTCTCCTAAAAGACCATTTAAAAAAAATACATTTTATTGATTTTTTACAGAGAGGAAGAGAGAAGGATAGAGAGCTAGAAACTTTGATGAGAGAGTCACTTATCAGCTGCCTCTTGCACACCCCCTAGTGGGGATATGCCCACAACCAAGGTACATGCCCTTGACCAGAATTGAACCTGGGACCTTTTAGTTCACAGGCCGAAGCTCTATCTACTGAGCCAAAAACGGTCTCAGCCTAAAAGACCATTTAAAATATATTTTTTAAATGAGAATTACCATGTTAGAGGGTAAGAAAATTTGCCAATATATTAATAGCAAAATGTTTAACTGTAGAAAATTATTAGGTATAGTTATAGGAGATGTTATTAACTGATTTAGTTAAACTAGACACCATAAAATTATGTTATGTAGAAAATGAGTATTGAATAATGTATAGACCTGAGTCTTCTGATTGGCCTTGACCTCCTTTTAAACAGGAAAGTGAAACATCTCATTAAATCATTTTAACACAAACTGATTAAATGTAAATTTAATTCATTAAATATAAATTCAGTGGTGTACATCAGAAAGACTACAATTATATTCATAATAAAATTCATAAATAATGCAAGAAAGAACTTACCACATTTAAGTCCATATAGCAATTCTTAGTCTCCCAAGGAAAGGGATAATACATTTAAAAGTCTATCTTAGGTAAGTACACATTTCATAGACATCTGATATTCATCTATTTTTAGAATAGAAAAATAAACCAGGTTTATTTTCATGAACTAAAATTGTAGTCTTCAGTAACAGATGCCTAGATTTTATTTTATGAATCACATGTTTAATATATAAACCACATGTATATTAAAAACTGTAAGGCAAAAGTTTAATAACATAACTGTGTAAAACTTTGAAATAGTATATGGTGAGTGAAAATAGATTTAATGAGCCCAGCTTTTATCATCTATAAATAAAATACTTCTTGCCCTAACCGGTTTGGCTCAGTGGATAGAGCGTCGGCCTGGGGACTGAAGGGTACCTGGTTCTATTCTGGACAAGGACATGTACCTTGGTTGCAAGCACATCCCCAGTAGGAGGCATACAGGAGGCAGCTGATGGATGTTTCTCATCCATGTTTTTAACTCTATCCTTCTCTCTGTGAAAAATCAATAAAATATATAATAATAATAAAAAAAATACTTCTTTAAAGATGCATCTTTAACCCAACAGAGTCAGATTCAAGCTAACATCACACTGATTCCTTCCCTGACCTCCCCCAAATCCAAGCAAGTAGGTCCCTTTTGGAACTGTTGAGCAAAATCTCCATGAGCATCTGAAACAGGGAAAGTGTGTGGGGTAATGTGAGCATCCGCCTGGAAATCATGAGGGACTTTGCATCTGTGCTCTGGCACTTGGACATTCATTTCTCTTTCACGTATCCTCTTCCTTCTGCCTACAGCACTCTGCCTCTCCTCTACACTTGGTTATCCCACTTACCTCGACATTGTTTCCTGAGCAAAGGCTTTCATGCCTTTCCCTGACAAATCATGCATAATAAGCTTTCTTAGGCCTAGATTCATATTTTTTATAAGAACATATCTTAATTATCATTTAATATATCTTTGCATGGCATCTTGAATGACTCTTCCACATGGCCAAACAAAATGGTCATCCTACATTGCATCCTCAATGTTTGATATATAATAGGTATACTATAAATATTCACTGAATATATGAAGGGAATTGAAGAAAATTAGAAGATGGTCCAAAAGGCTGATCAATAATCAAGACATAAACTTATAAGTGTAGTGACTATATTTTTACCTGTGTAGTATGTGTTTATATTTCTCTATTCACAAACATAAGTAGTCTTTCCAAACAGACACTATTAAAATAGTCAAATGAAAATGAGTATAAAACACCTAGCATAAAGTAGATGCCAGCACACAGATGTTAAATCAATTATAACTCTATCCTTTAAAAAATTATTTTAGTAAAAACATTAGTATAATCAATAGCAAAATCAGAAAGGATTCCTAGATGCATGAGATTGAGATAAACGATACCAGCTTATTGAACTTACAATAAATTTCACTAACAGGATGTTGCAAGGGTCCCTCAAACATTAGTTTAATATTTAAAGACATTCTCTGAGATAACCATGATGAGTAAATTTCAAAAAACATTCCTATTAAATACCTCAGTCAAGTACACACATCAAAAAATAAAAGATACTTTAGGTCCAAAGCAAACTCTTAAGTTCTCAAATGAGGTATCCTAAACTCTTGGTTTTGTGAGGGCTGTATCTATTTATGTTCTATTTTCTCTACTAAATAAGAACCCTTCTAAAAAATATTCCTAAAGCAGCTCTGTTGCCCACTCGATTAACCTGGGATACAAACTATAAAATGTTGGCCTTGATACACACCAATAGTCAGAGAACATCAAGAACCTGGAAAGTAACTGTG